CCTGGCTCCCAGTCTAGCTGCCATAGAGGACCTGGAGGGAAGGAGAGAGGGAGACAAAGAGGCTGAAATTCCATTACTTCTGACGCCACTCTATCTACCCACACACCTGCCGTGGAGGAGTATGTATCAGGTGGAACTCCTTCAATCTTAACACTAATGAGCAGGAGAAACTGTCCTTATTAGTGAGGTGTCCTGATGCATGCAGGAAAACTGCTCTTAGGGAAAGAAAAGGTGTCCTTATTAGAGAGGAGTCCTCATTTCAGTGGTGTCCTTAGAGAAGGTATTCCCTCTCCTTCCCTCCAGACTCTGAGAGCGATGGACAGACTGTCAGTGGAGGAGACCAGAGATCTCCTGGTCTCAGTTCTCTTTGTCCTCAAGCACATCGAGAGCTCCGTGCTGCTCCACTGGTGGAGCGAACTCATCGGCTCTGGAGGAGGGTCCAGAGCTCCTGCAAGTTGAGCGACTTTGAAGATCCGTCCACATCTCGTCTCTCGCAGTTCTTTGACTTTTTCAACGCTCTAGAGTGAGTGGGTGTGGCCTTAGTGGGTGTGGTTCTTTTAATCAGTGGAGGGTTAGCATTTTCTTAGTATATGGAGAATTGTGTGTCATAGAGTGTTTGTACTTTTAGCTGGAAGGTAAGGACCGCCAAAGTTGGAGAAAGCAGTTTATACTGTACATTAGTTTTCAATTTGGCTAACTGTCAGTTTGTTTCCTCTAATGCAGAACATGTCTGTATTCCTTCAAGTACTGTGGGAGGACTGCAGTCAGCAAAAAACTGTGAGTCACTTTGAATGCAGTAGATTAATAGTCTACATCTCTCTCTGCAGAGCCTTGTCATATCGCGAGTCGACTCTGTCCCGCTCTCCCTCAGCCTCTCCGTCTGTCTCCACACCTCCTCAGAAAGAGAAACTAGGGAAGAAGACGTCTGTGTCCAGCGTGGCAGGGAAGACGGCCAAACGCCCTCCCAACTCCCCAGCACCCAGTCAGCGACTCCTTCCTCCTCCCTCTTCCTCAGCCATCACTCGGTATTTTAACCCTTTCCTCTCTCCCCCAGCGCCGGCCACGTTCACCATCCCTCGCTCCCCCACTGCCGAGGAGCTGGCTCTACACGTGAAACTGGAGGGAGCTCTCTCTTATGAGGTGGGACTCATCATCCTGGGTGTCCTGGACACCTTCATGGAGGGGATGACCAGCGAGCTGTCACAGGCTATGGGTGACAACTACTTCATGGCAAAGGTTTGAACTGCTTCGCTCGCGGAGAGAGAAGTGATACCACAGTTGTAGCAATGCCACACACACAACTACTGTACTTGTAGTATTGGTCACTCGGTAGTCATTATTGCTTTGCCTCAAATGGACTGTATAAAATCTGATTCCTTTCTCTTCTAGTTTTTCACGCTGCTCATCACGATGCTCCATGTCAGTACATCTGCCACTCTCCAGTCCCACATTTTCAACTTCCTACGCATCTTCATCCACAACGTGAGGGAGAAAGAGAAACACAAACTGATCTGATATTATTGAGACTGTGTTGTCCTTCTCTTCAGTTCAGAGAGAGTCTGTTCAAAGGAAGTGCAGAATACTGCGGAATTCTCTGCTTTGAGGTATATTATATTAATCCAGTGGGGTGCAAAGTTCTGTTAAATTTCACTAAATTTAGCGACCCCTTAAAATTTCCCCCCTGGTATATAAGAAATTTCTTGTCACTGTAGATTCTGAGATGTTGCAACTCAAAGATGTCAACCACCAGATCAGAGGTACAGTGTACATATTGTGGCCGTGTTTGGTTTGATGTATAGTTAGATCCTCTGTTGTCACAGGCTTGCTCGGCCTTCTATCTCATGATGAAGACAAACAATGAACTGTTCAGGAGTCAGGGCTTCGTTCGCTGCCACGTGCAGGTACAACTCACACCCTCTTAACAATTCTCCGTCTCTCTCTCTCTTTGTAACAATCTTCCCAGCTTTACTCCCTCTCTCTCTCCCTCCTCTCACCAGGCGACGATAGCAGTATCTCGACTGGTGTCCACTCTACTGGGAGAGAGTGATACCAACCTCCGTCGATCCCTCGCCACCATCGCCAACTTTGTCAAAGATGACACCAAGATTAAGAGAGTGAGCCTTCCACTTATCATCGTAGAACTCTGCATGCACACTAGAGCATGTTATCCTCTTCCTCCCCATTCTCTGTGTCCCAGGGCTCGGCCTTCCCCACCGAAGTGGCTGAACTCATGAAGAGACTGAAAACCATTCTCAACGCCACATCACAAATGAAGGTACATTATGCAAACAAAAGCAAACACATACGCTAAACAAGACTTTTGAGGAACCTTTATGGAATTGGAGGAATTGTGGAAGTTTCTTAAAACTTGTGAATATTTTACTCCCTCTGTCGATGGTTCGCAGTATCCACCTGTGTTTGCTGTTTCAGGCCCACCAGAACGACCCAGAGAAGCTGATGGATCTCCACTACAGTCTGGCCAAGAGCTACAGCAACTCTCCTGAACTGAGGCAGACTTGGCTCGACTCCATGACTGCCCTCCACCTCAAGGCCGGCAACTATTCAGAGGTCTCCCTTTCTCTTCTCTGTCTGTCTCTTCATCTTTCTCTCTCCCCATTTCTTCATCTCTCTCTCTCCCTCCCACAACTGTAGGCAGCTCACTGCAGTATCCACATAGCTGGTCTGGTGGCAGAGTGTCTGAAACTACAGAAGGAGAACGCCCACGGCTGTGCTGCCTTCACACACATCTCCCCCAACATCGAGATGGAGGAGAGAGGCATGAGGGAAGACAAGGGCACTGCTGGTGCCGAGGACCACAGCTACACACAGGTTACCTCATATACAAACACAATTCACTACTGCTTCAGTGTATCTTAGTTAGCTGGGATTTTAGTTATGGTTACTATTGTCAATGTTTGAGTTGTTTTTGTTGGATGATACAGAATTTAAAGATGTGTGTCTGTCTGTATGTGAGTGTTCCGTGGTTAGAGAGTTAAAAAGCTCTCTCTCCCTCCCTCCCCCCCTCTCTTCTCCAGCCAAACCTGGTGTCCCTACTAGAGACCAGCATGGACTACTTCGAGCAGGGTCAGCGCTACGAAGTCATGTCTGAAGTGGCGAAACTTCTGCAGCCATTTTATGAAGATGCCAGGGACTCTAAGGTATATTATAACAAACACAATATCAACATGAGTTCTGTGTTTCTATGACTTATTCAATCTTATATTGAAAGAGAGTATAACTCGTACAACAGATTGTACTCAGTGTGTGTGTGTGTGTGTGAATGTCTTCCTCTCTCTCTGATCTTCCTCTCTCTCTCTGGCCTCAGAGTATGATGGAAATGTATGGGAAGTTGCACCAGGCCTACCGTAAGGTGGTGGACATTGAAGAGTCCGGGAGAAGATATCTCGGAACTTACTTCAGAGTGGCCTTCTTTGGCAGGGTACGTCCAATGTCTGTACCATAATCTCTCTGTCACTGACTCCTTATTCAGAGCAAGGGCAGCCTAAGATAGCAAGCCCACCTAGTCAAATGGACTGTGTGTACGATAGTGTATGGTCCTGTCAACCCTTTACTAAAGTGAAATTATACACTCTTGTTTTTGTGGTTGCATTCGTTCTAATACTGTAACCTGACAAGGCTTGCTATGATCTTATGCTCCTCCCCTCCCCCCTCCTCCCTCTCTCCCCCTCTCCCCAGCCATTCGGAGACGACCACGAGAAGCAGTACATCTACAAGGAGCCAGCAGTCACCACTCTGGCCGAGATAGTTCTCAGACTCCAGAAACTCTACTCCAGAAAGTTTGGTCCCGGGACACCTGTCAACATCGTACAGGAATCCGGCAGGGTCCGTCACAAATCTAACACAACACGATTACCTCATTTTGATTGTTCCTCTCCCAATAGGTTGACATAGAGTCATTGGCCTCCAACCACGCCAACATACAAATCACTCACGTGGAGCCGTACTTCACGGAGGACATGTTGCAGGACAGAACGTCGCGGTTTGAGAGGACCAACAATCTCAGTCGGTTTGTGTTTGAGGCTCCGTTCACGAGAGGGGGCAAACAGCAGGGCGACGTCACACGGCAGTGCATGAGAAAGACGGTCCTCACCAGTGAGTAGAGTGGGCATATACAGTGGAACCTCTCTAACCAGCAGAGGGACAGAAGAAAGTACTTAGTGTCTGTTTAGAGCAACTCGTCAACATTCCTCGGTCGCCAGTTATGATTCACTGTTTTATGTACCCCCAGCTTCCCACTGGTTCCCCTACATTAAGAAATTGTTCTCTGTTCCCCTAGCTTCACACTGGTTCCCCTACATTAAGAAGAGGATCCTCGTCATCCATCAAGAACAGTTTGAACTCTCCCCTATTGAGGTGCACACAAGTCTATTAGGCTCCCTATATATTCTCCTACTGTGTGTGCAGGTGGCCATTGAAGCCATGCAGAGGAAGACGAGTGACCTCGTGGCCCAGGTTCAAAGGTCACCCCCAGACCTGAAGAGACTACAACTCTTACTCCAAGGTTGTGTCAGTACTCAGGTATGTACATTATTATGACAATCTTTTGGCGGAGTTGGTGGGCAAAATAAGCCTTCCTAGTCATCTCTTTTCAATTGTGCAATTTTCTGTGTGTATGTGTGTATGTGTATACGGCTGAATTCCAAATCTACTGAAAGTTCTTCTTCCTGATCTCGTCTCTCCCGTTGGTGGCCAGGTGAACCAAGGAGTGCAGGAATACGCAGTGTTTCTCTCTCAGCAACACTCTTCAGAACTGTCGTCTGCTCAGATCAGCCAGCTCAAGACCGTCTACCGGTGAGAGGGGAGAGAAAGAGGAGGCTAGCGAGCTAAATCTGCTCCAATCTAGACAATACTGAGACAGAATAAAGTGTTCGTATCAGCAAGGCGTTGGTTAAACCTCATTTCAAGGGTGTCTTTAGAGAGTTGTTCCACTAGAATCTTACTCAGCTTCAACTTAATACTTATCAGCACCCTTGGACTTAGGCAGTGCCTTTATTTTGGGGGAGGTTTCAGAAAAGCAGACTTGTAGTTAAACAGGCTGACTAATGGTAGTCCTCCTGTCCATCTCTCAGGTCAATGATGGATGCATGTCAGCATTCTCTGGACCTGAACGAGAGCCTCATATCCACCGACCAACTTCTCTACCACCAAGACATGAAGAGCAAGTTCCAAAAGATGCTCACCACTCTCAACCCACTCATAGCTGATGACTCTGACAATGATGACAGGGTCAGTCCAGGGGGAAGGGGGTCTGGTAACATTATGGAGATCTCCAATCTGATCAGCTATATCAATGTTGCGTGTATATACATCCATTGTGCAACACATCAGTTTTATACACACACACAGTACAGATATGCACACCAGGTTTTGTGGTAGAGTCTCTGCCTCCCATCTTTCCTTCCACTGCAGGTGGCCCATGGCAGTGATACATATCCGAGAGCAGCTCGAAGGTCTCAGGTTGGACTGGACCCTCATAGAATGTCTGCCATTCTCTTCAGCTCCATCAGTGGAGCAACTTGACACCATGACCATTACACACACACTTCTTCCCAGACATGTGATGTGATGTTGTATCTGTTGTTATTCTTGTGTATTACAATAAAAATATGATTATTTTGATCAGTGGGACTCAGTAAACATGACCAACTGAGTTTTCAATCTTCAAACTGGCAACTTCTCGATCTCCTGGCCAGAGTGCCACAGAGCCTCGTCTGTACTGACTGTGCCCCTAATGGTACTGGGATGTATAATTTTCACTGGACCAACTACGTATCTCTCTATATGACGTGCCAGCTCGCATGCGCACATGAAAGAGTTAATAAGAAAATGAGTCATCCCGTCAAAGAACAAGACAAAACAACTTCAAAAAATGATCTCTAATACAGACAATACATTTTAAAAATCTCTAATAGTAATTTGTCTGCCTCTATGGGGGTGGGTAATCTGTGGAAGATATTTGATAGCTCCATCACTTCCTGCTTGTTGTGTAAACAGTTTAATAGGACACTGCTTCAATTGGGCAACTTACCCCAAGCATTTTCCGGTAATCTTCCAGGGCGTTAATAATGTTTCTTTCTTTATTTTCCAATTTTTGGGCATTTTCTTTTAATTCATTGCATAATCTTGTCACTTGACAGACATGGTATATATGGAGAGAACGATAGGGGACAAGAGAGGGGAGGGGAAGGAAAAACCAGTATTGGGATGTGAATTAATCATTAATTTTTAACAAACTTTGTGTTAGCTCATCTTGTTTCTGGTAATCTTCCAGGGTGTCAATCATCTCTTTTTAATTTCCGATTTTTGGCAACTGGAAATTGTGCAGAAGGGTGGCTCAGAACCAACATCTCTCTCTTCTTGGTGGGTGGGGGAGGTAGGAGGGTAGATGTTCTGTGGAGGGAGGGTGTGAGTCAGTACTTCTAGAGTGATGCTGGGTGGACTTACGGGGCTTCTTCCTCTTCCTCTTTCTTCTTCTTCCTCAACCTCCTTGTCCTGTTTAGTCTAATGGGTTATGGACATAAAAACGGATTTGTCTGTTGATACCTTTTTTGCAGTTCAATGTCTTGTTGTGTAGGTGTGTGAGTGAAAGATGTACTGTAGAGGAAAGGTGGGAGTGAGTGATTCTAACTCCCACATACTACTTAATCCTTTCTTGAATCCTTAAAAGCACACTAATATTTAATAAGAACATGGGATTGGTTTACAAAGAATGGCCACACAAATATCTTGTTTGGATAAGTCTACTAAGCTTTGCCACAGTAAGCGTAAAGGGGTGGAGATGATCTGTGGAGGGAAGGTGTGAGTCTGTGCTTCCAGAGTGATGCTGGGTGAACTTACGGGGCTTCTTCCTCTTCCTCCTCTCCCTCGAGGGAGAAAGGTATGGGGGTGGGTAATCTGTGGAAGGAGGGTGTGATTTTGCACTTCTAGAGTGATGCTGGGTGAACTTACGGGGCTTCTTCCTCTTCCTCCTCTCCCTCGAGGGAGAAAGGTATGGGGGTGGGTAATCTGTGGAAGGAGGGTGTGAGTCTGTACTTCTAGAGTGATGCTGGGTGAACTTACCTTCCCCTTTCCCCTCTATCCCCCATTCATTATGTAGGCCACTTTTCCATTATCTCCATTGTGTTTTTCTATTATAACGTATATTATAAAATGTCACAGAGTGTTAACGATACAAACTTGCTAAACTGACTTTTAGCGTTGTGTAAACAGTTTTTTCCCTGGAGGATTTTGGGCAACGTTCAATCACTCACCCCTCCATGCTCATCCTCACTCACCCCTCCCATGCTCATCCTCACTCACCACTCCCATGCCCAAATCACAACGTCTCTGCACTGTTGCTAGTTGGTGTTTTAGCTACCCAACAATGTTCTCCCAACAACAAAGCTATTCCAGAGGATAGCTATCTCCCTCTGGCAAGGGAATGCTACCACGTGGATTCACCGATACCCGCCGCCCGCTATCGTGTATCCACGCGTGTGTGTGCCAAAGTGTTAACAGTTGTCGACAGGATATGTTCTTACCTCTATTATCTTTTCCTGGTTTTTATTAATCTTTACTTCATCATCTATTCTATCATCCTTTTGTATTATTATTTTCTCCAATTCCTGTGAATGTTGAAGTATAATATAAGTGAAGTGAGGTGGTAGCTAAAAGAAAAGGATGCTATGTAGCCATACCTAACATCAGGGTTCAAGGCAGACTTCCGTCAGAAAATCTGCTGTCTCTGAAACTGTAGTATTTTATCGGTCGGTCGGCCCGCCATTGTAGCCGCCATCCATTGCTGTAGCGTTTTTAACTCTCTGTCTCCGTAGGAGGGGAGGGGAGGGGAGGGGAGAGGAGAGGAGAGGAGGGAGCATCGGTGTGAGAAGAGTTATATAGAGAAGAAAAAGAGGAAAACACAATAGATGCCAACAGACAACTAAACTATCAAGCTCAGATGAAATGGCCGAAAAACAGCAGAGCCAGTGACACTACACTTTTGCAGAAGAAAGGACTTGAGAAATTCAAAACATGGAACAAATAAAGACAAGGGGAACCTTGTGCTTTAGAGTACACTAGCTACTCTGTATATATACACCTGAGATTGTTTGAATATCCGGTCAATCCTCAGCACGTGGTCCAAGACCTCGTCTTTGTGACACAAACAAACACACATTGGACAAAAAAATACAAAAACAAACACCAACTGAAATAATCACTTCTGTAAGAGGCATAATACATTGTTTTAATCAATCTAATTGGAATTTGGATGCCCCTTCCATTAAAACCTGTACAAGAAATTGAAATCATTGCTTTTAAGCCTAGGATTGTTAAATACTTTTTAAAATCAGAAATAATTTTTTGCTGCTTTTTTAATAGACTCCAAATCTGTCGTAACTTCACAGACAATGGTATGGAGAGAGTGTCAAGGCAACATGGAAAGGGAACAAGAGAGAGGGGAGGGAAGGAAAAACCAGTATATTGGCATGTGAATTAATCTTTAATTTTTAACAAACTTTGTTTGATCTTCACTTCTGCCGCTTGTAATTGTGTCTTCCCAACCTTCCTCTCTCCTCCTCCTCTGCCCTCCTCCTCCTCTTCCCTCCTCCTCCTCTTCCCTCCTCCTCCTCTTCCCAACCTTCCTCTCTCCTCCTCCTCTTCCCAACCTACAATCCTGAAGAATAATACAAATACATTTAATAAAACAAATGCAGAAAAATACAAATACAACACAAAATAGCACTAAAGTGCAAACCCTCGGCAAACTGCACATGCACAGTACCACTAATTGATGGGCTGGTATCCCGCTAATACTCACATAGCATCCGGGTGTCGATACATGCCATTACTGTAACCCTCGCTGCACATGCGCGCCGAGGGTTAATAATATTTAGGTAAATTCAACCGTGAACAGACTACTATATGATAGTCCATGATATGGATTGCAATAGGATAGCTGTTCAATATTGCATGTGGTGTATTTTTTGCTGTATGAAGAATTCAGGAAACTACCACAGTGTGGCTTGGCTGTGGTTTGGATGTCTCCATGAACATGAGGGTTTAGCAGAATTTCTGAGACCAAAAATGACAAGCATTGAGACGTCGGCAGATTCAAATTGACCAATCAGATTGCGTAAAATGTGGACTCTAGGCCAAATTCAAGCCAAATCTTACACACCAAGAAGGAAATTGAAACAAGATCAGCAGAAAAACAACCACAACAGTTTCTGCAAGCCCTGATGCTCGTCCTTCATTAACAGTATTTGGTAGAGAATATGAGTACGTTGAAGAAAAATTAGAGTCATGTCCATGTCCATGAACCCACTATGTACTATGTATATATGGAGAGCGAGGAAGAGGAAGAAGAAGAAGAGGGAGAGAGATGAAGAGGAGGACTCAAGTGGTGGGCTCTCTTCATTCCTCAAGTTGTATACACACTCTGTCATTGTTGCAGCATACGCAGTTCAAGCTATAAATAATTATTAAAGGTTATTCTAGAAGATACAAAGAACTCTCCAGAGGTAAGATGAAATGTTAGCTTGCATAATTATATACATACATGCTATCTTACAGATCGTCTCGATTATTATGAACTGTAGTTAGTAGTGAACTGTAGTATTATAGTAGTGCTCATCAGTGGCCTATACCGAGGGTGCGGAAGGATAGTAAGCTACCCTGACTTCATCCGGACCTCCAGAGACCTGCGGGGACTGCTCTCCATTGAGACCTCCCTTTCCTGACGTCTGAAGAATCTCCAAGATCACCAGAACCATGTACAAGTACCTGAAGGATATTCCACCTCATCCCATTCCAAGAAGAGAGGCTGCGTAAGTTACGATTCATTGCTTAAACACACATGCTATAGTCACTCTTTTCCCTCCTGCAGAAGAGTACACTATCCCCCAGTCAAAATCAACGTCTATTTCCAAGGATTGAACTGGCCTTGTGTCGCTGACTGTCCAAGCATATTAACGGCAGAAGAAATATGCAAACACTTTGGAAGGACATTTCGATGTACAAGAACAATCAAGGTGCCAACACACCCCTCTTTGCTGCCCAATCTGTGTCCTTGATGATGTAAAGTTTGTTTGGAGCACAAACTACGACAAAATATATAGCTTTGCAGAAGTAACTGGGATGTAGCCCAGCAATTCTCATCTTCCTCTGACCATCGTCTCTATGAGAGAGGGGTGGCTCTGCTCTCCTCTGTATGATGGCTGTTTAGGGCCATTAACTTTCTGCCATTTCCATCTGACATTCAACTTCCATTTTTCCATTATGCGCATCGTTCTTTATCAAGTTTTTCATGTATATACCTGTACTCGTAAAACCCGTTCTTTTACGAGTACAGGATTTAGATTCCGTTCCACCCACACCCACCTTCCCTAGGAACAGACGATCCTCACGGTAAGAGTATATTTGGTAGCAGTGAACGGTCAAGCTCCTCTAATACACTCCTCTGATTAAATATTGCGCCCACAAATTTGGGGTATCGCACCTCTAACATACCTGCTGTTCAGTATTTGAGGCAAACCAATGTCTTTATTATGGTAATACACTTTCATAAAACCAGAGTGTTCTTTGCCATACCACCTGAAGCCGGAAGGCTATCAAGTCCTTCAACAACACCCTGATCTTACTGGGTACTTCATGATTACTCACCCAATTATGAAAAATATTCCACACCATACACATACACTTCCTAGGTAGACCGAGAATGAAGCTTCTTATATTACAAGTTTTATAATTTTGTAAGTAATGCTCAATGTTATCAGGTAAATCGCCCAGGTCACGTTTCTTCCTACGTCTGCGATATTTGCGCACTCTGTTAAAAAGCGTATTAACCACCAGTTGACCTTGACCTTTCATTTTAGATATGTTACCAGCTCCCTCACATTATCATTCAGTCCATACGGATAGAACGTACATAGTTCCCTGCACCAATAATCTTCTCTTTCGAGGTTGAACCGACTTTATTTCCAGTGTCAACAATTTTCTCAATTGCCGTAATACATATTATCATCCTCAGTGTGTCCATCCGAACTAAAATGATTATGTATTAGTTAACGTATAGGCGGCGAGGCGGTACAGGAGCACGTTCTGCAGCCCGAACATCGCGGACAAATCCCAAGTTGGGTCGCTCCCGCTCGCCAACAATGTTCAACATTCTTCTAGTAGCTAGCTAGCAAGCTCAAGCTCATAGAAAATTCCGGTCGAACAAACGACTAGGTTGGCTCGCTCCCGCTTGCCAATTAGCCCGAGGCCAGTATAGTTAACAGCCGAGGAGAATACCAGTGCAGCCCGCAGCCCACAGCTCAGAATACAGCGTATATTCCTAGCACCGTCCCCAGGCCCCACCCACGAGGAGAGGGTCTGGTATCCACTGCTTGCGCATGCGCGGTATTTTCAACGTGGGTGTAGCGCAACTACGTCAACACCAAATTCGATAAAAGGAAATGACGTAGGAATAAGGATCTCATACTACGCTAGCTCGTAAACAACACGTCGAGTATGCAAAATGTAGCTGGCTCCTGTGTGTGTCGCTTGTGTCGATCAGCTACGACCGCCAGCAATTACGAGTGGCTGCAGACAGAGAGGTCACCTTCATTCGCAACTAAATCGCTACTAAACCCAGTACCACTGCTAATGACAGCTGCCTTCACTCCTCGTTCGCGTAGGCTACATACTTGATCTGTCATGAGTGGAGACACTACCAAAACAAGGCTCGACTTGGCATCGATCCTGCTCAGCTTGTGGTCCCTCACGAACAGCAAAACCTCGTAGCAGAGAGATTTGCCAAACCTGGTGGGCAGCCACACAAAGACATCTCTACCTCGGTAAATTGAGTGTATAGCTTTTCTTTGCTCGGGCTTTTGGCGTGATGCTTGGAGCTCCCAAGCTAAAGCAGGGCGTATTGAAGAGCGCGATCGAACTCGCCGTTGTCGGCGCTGCCGCTGTATTTGGCCATTGCTAGCTACTGGACTGACCCCACCCACTCTCCTCAGGTCATTAGGTGACGTTAGCGTCACACGAAAATATACGGAAAATACACGGTTTATCAACATTCCGATAAAATACCGCGCATGCGCAAGCAGTGGATACCAGGCCCTCTCCTTGTGGGTGGGGCCTGGGGACGAGGCTAAGGTTGGCCATGCTCTTCAGTCTTTTTCTATGGTTATTAAAACGGCTACGTAATTTCTGGCTAGTCTAAAGAAAAAAGTAGGATCAAACAGAACCAGAGATGGAGCACACATGGGACCACGGCTAGGGTACGACACTAGCACTACTGCTTTCCCATACGTACTAGAAGTGACGATGTTACTCAACCGCCGTTTTGGCCGCATGCGCCACGAAGAATAACCTGGGTACGTGTTTACAACAAGCCAAGTACAGAAATAACACCGTGACCGCTAAACTAGGCAGATTGGTCGCTTTGGCTTTTGGTGGTGATCAATCATGGCTAGAAACCTCGAATCAGGGAAACCAGCAAGAAAGGAAGGGGAAACGAAGTGGATAATATTTAGTGGTATATAGTCAGTGGGTGGTGTTCCAGGACCACAAGACTGTCCTCTTATAAATATCATAATTAGATTGTAGTATGAACAGGCACTGCACATACCGTGATGTTACACTGATTTACGAAAAAATTTGTGAAAAATCAGACTGCTCGCCAATTGTTGCATTCCCCCTATATTATAGTATTGTTATACATATTATATTGCTGCAGGATTCAGAGGAAAAGTTGAAAGATTTGAAGGAAAAACAAGATGAGCTAACACAAAGTTTGTTAAAAATTAATGATTAATTCACATGCCAATACTGGTTTTTCCTTCCCCTCCCTCTCTTGTCCCCTATCGTTCTCTCCATATATACCATGTCTGTCAAGTGACAAGATTATGCAATGAATTCAAAGAATATGCCCAAAAATCGGAAAATAAAGAAATAAGCATGATTAACACCTTGGAAGATTATCGGAAAATGCTTTGGTAAGTTGCCCAATTAAAGCAGTGTCCAAACAGGAAGTGATGGAGCTAAATGCAGACATGAAAGTAAATATATATTTTTTATGAATTGTAAACTTTATAATTAATTTTCTCACACAATGAGGTCATGGATGATTACTCTAAAATGCTCAATGTGAGCTGCTTAAGGTAAGTTGCCCAATTGAAGCAGTGTCCTATTAAACTGTTTACACAACAATCAGGAAGTGATGGAAAGGCTGCATTTCTTCAAGGGAGACCAGACTTAATAATGGACCCGATTGGTGGCGAGTGCTAAGGATTCGACTACAGATATAAAGTAAATACATTTTTATGAATTATAAACTATTTTCACATACAGAAAGTGGGTGTCAGTGAGAGCAGCCAAACACGCTGGCCAAGAGTCAACAGGAGCACAAACACGCTGGCCAAGAGTCAACAGGAGCACAAACGCGTTGGCCACCCAATATGAAATATTAGTATTGCACATTATTGTAGGTCTCTGAGAGCAGGAGAGATTGAAGCGGAGACAAGTCAATGATTTTGTAAACCTGTACGACCCACCTCTACGTAGAGGAAGAACAAGGCCCGAGAAAACAATGGGAAAAAGACAAGTAAAGTGATGTAAGCACACAGCTGTTAACTCGTTGCGGACGACGCGCATGTACGAAAGGCAAATATTAAAAATAAGAATAGCAGAAGCTCAGCACGCAGGGAGTGACTGAAGGTGCCAACACAGGGAAAAGAATCAATCTCCTCTCTCTGTCTCTTCTCTCTCCCTCATCTCTCTCTTCTCTTCTCTCTCTATGATGCA